TATTTGCTGACTCACTGGCTTATCTCGGCTAGCATTCAGCCTCTTCAACACCACACGATGGATCAGTCTACACTTAATTCCTAGCACACAGGAAGAACAGCTCAGATTTTTTTGTGAAGAGATCTTTGTCTAACACATGTCTACACTAAAAGGAAAGAAGACACCTACATTTTAACTGTGCCACCTGCACATGCTCAAAGAATATTTTACACTCCCTTGCTGGAGCAGGACTGCTATCATACCCTCTTGTGCAGCTTCATGTGGTGAGAAAATCCTAGCGTCACCACAAGGAGATGTGCTGATGTAGAGATGAAACTGCACGTTCTCCTTCAGCTTAAACCCGCCTCGCTCCGATTTGATAAAAATGGATTTTTGCTGATCCTCTTTATTGCTGAAACAGAGAATAAAGCTAAAGTCATAACTGACGTTAACACATAAGCAACTGTAAGCTGGGCACTCTTAATAGGCATTAAAAATAAACATAGGATGTCTGGGAATTTTATAGTAATCTAACAGCTTTTACTATTAACAAAATTAAAAGGCTGTTGAGGTAAGAACTAGAGAGCCCCTGACATCCCCAGGTGTCAAGAGCTTTCAGGCACTTACCAGTATACGAAACACCACCACCCTTTAGCCCACTTGAGATTATTTCGATCTACACGTTTACAGTTTACAAAATGATTCCAAATTATTTTCTGTCCTCCCCTCTCACGACTGACACCTAACTGAGTATATGTTTTGTTAAAGTCAAACTTAAAAGTCCGGGCAAAGGGCCTGAGTTCTAAAGTAAACATCCTAACGTCACAGGGCAAGCATTTCCCAGTAAAATAATTAAGACAAATGTTTTAGACACCTTTTCAACCCACTTGATCAGCTCATCCTCCATTATCTTCCATCTTACCTTAGATAAAGCTCAAGTTGTGTATACAGAAATTTAAGGAGGCATCGTCGAGAGACAATTTCTGCATGGCAATCGTTTAGTGCAAGACCACGATCACTCATGTATTCACCATTGATGCATTTTGTTCCTGTAGAAACACTTATTACCAAGGCATCTTTCACATCTGTACCTGCAAAACAAAATTTCAGGAAAAAGATGCAATTAAAATAACAAATAATCTAGCAAGTGATCTTCTTGCAGAACACATACAAGGCTAATTTTTGTTTGCTTCTTTCAAATAAAAAAGTAAAGTTTTTTCTTCTGATGCTCTCTTTAAAGCAAAAGCTTCACTCAGCCACAACCTCCCTGTACCAGTACAGTCTGTGGTTCTTGTCAGCTTCTCATGCTGGAGTTCAGACAAATTAAAACTGAAAACCTGCAGGGAAAAGAGTTATTAAAGCCTGAGCTCAAAAGACAGTGCTTTTTTCCTGAGCCCCAGTCACCTAGCTAGCTTCCAGCACATACCTTCTGACCACCTATGCAGATATTCACAGTAACTTCAGAAATCTGAAAGGCATTGATTTATTAAAACAGTAACATGTTATGGAAGAGTACAAAGCCAACAAGAGCAAAGGTAAGACTAGGGAATGAAGAAGCTTAAATGCTTAAACCACTGTAAGGCTTGTCAGCAGTATAATGCTTCTAGAAGTGTAGTTCTTGGTATTAAATCATTCTATCCAATAGAATTTTAAAAATATTGGGTTTTTTTTCTATACAGAAGACTGTATCGCACAAAAAAATAAAAAAAAAAAACAAACCCAAAAAAAAGAAAAAAAAAAAAAAAAAAAAAAGAAAAAAAAAGAAAAAAAAACAACAAACTTACAACAAAAAAAAACCAAACACCCAAGGTCAGCTGCAGGAAGATTTCAGAAAAACAGGCCAAAATGTTACATCCCTCTAGCAAAACACTCCGCAGAAAAAGCCCCAACAAGCCACATTAACTCCTCTGATGCTCTCAAGGCCTCACCAGCAGTGGCAGACAGTGGCCAAGCTCTGCCAAATGCCTTCTGCAGCCTTCCTCCCACAGAATGATTACTGCTGTATGGAGAAGTGGAAAAAACACTTTCAACGCACCTCAAGCACCCGGCACTGAGGACCCTCCAACGTCCACCTGGCTGCACAACGGCAGTGCCAACATCAGGGGTGTAACTAGTAATTAGCAAGGGAACTGGGAACTGAGTAATTAAAAAGGTAGTTGAGACACGGACTATTTGAACTTTCACCCCCGATGAAATGTACAGCTCTAAAAAATAAGAACCTGCGCCCAGCTGCCCCCTCCTGCCCACAGGGCTGAAGGAGAGCACCACGGAAGAGAAGCAGGAAGCCATCTGACTCTACAACATGAGGCTGTGCAATGGGGTCATCTAATTCCAGGGGTTCCCCAGACAGGTGACCATGCAAAGATAGTTTCTAAGTCTGTGTAAAGCCATTTCTTCAGTTAATCAGAATGTATTCATATGTCAATTAAGTGTTAATTCTTTGGTCACATGGCTCTTCTGGGAATCATGGACACAGGACCATAATTACAATAAAAACTTGTTAAATATCACAAAATACTACTACAGCATATTCCTCACAGAGCTTTGCATTTGGAGGTAAAGCAGTGTTCATACCACATGAATGTTTTGGGTGTTGCCAAGGAGCACCTGAGGATTGTCAAGGCTCAGTCTCCAAAACTCCCAAAGGCAGGGAGGGGACACAGACAGAAAAGCTGAGCAACAGTGCGCAAGGTTCATCCCACACCGTAAGTGTTGTGCTCAGTAATAAGAGGTCAGTCAGGGGAAGGAAGAGAAGACATTTAAGGTTACAGCATTTGTCTACCCATGAGTCTTCTCACCCTCTTTCCACTTTCTCCACGTGCCCCAGGAGAGGACAACAAGTTAGAGGCTGGGTGGGTTTTTGACTGCTGGCCAGGGTCAGCCCACCACAGATGTCTCCTGAGAGTTTGGGCCACACTGTCCCCCTGTCACATTCCCGTCCCTAGAGCACACAGTTATTGTCTACCCTAACCAGCACACTCAGACTGTGTGCTCTGTGGAGGAGGCCCCTATAAACATCCCCGCAGGAGGAAAGGGCTGCTGTGGCCCAAACTGCCCAGGGAAGGCTGTACATTTATCACTAGTACCCGTCTGACTCACACTTAAGTGGGGATAGCTCATGACAGGCACAAAATGAATGTCCCACCAGGCGTTCAGACAGATTGTAGATCAAAACAAATTTTAGCATGAGAAAAATTCGGGAGCGGCGTGGCCGCAGATCTGCTTCAGGCAGAACGTCACTGTCTGGGGGGACCTGTAAGAGCACAGGTCTTGTGCCAGCAGCCAGGGAACCACGACACTACTGCTGCTCGTACAAGCACATGAATGTCAGCTGCCAAAACATGAGCTGATTTCTTCAGATATTTTTACCAAAATGGTTGAGAGACAAAGCACTAATAATAAGATACAGCAAGAAAAACTCTAACAAAGCCCTAAACCTTAAAAACTTGGAAAGCGAGCATAATTTCTTACATAATATACCAAAACTCAAGAATGCCAGCTGTGTGACTGATGTGGTGAAATTTATTTTAGATTTATTTTCAAAAAGTTGCATGGTTAGTTTTAAAAGGTACATGTATTTTCTAGACTGTGAGTTATCTCAGATGTCTCAGTCAGGCAGAAAATAGGAACTCTGTGGGAACAGAAGTATTTGCAGGTCTCATTTTCCTGTAATTATCTTTAGCCAAGATTTAATTGTTCTATTTAGTGCACCTTGGAGATTAAACAATAAAAATATATTTAAATTCTGGTTGACTGAAAAGAGTTTCCTAGAATGCAAACAAAGTTCTTGTATTTAAGCAGCCAAAATAGTACTTTTGTTTTTTTTTCTTTACCTGTTGTCATGACAATTCCAGCAAGGACTTTTCTACGTGCATGTGGAGATGTGAAATTTTCGGTCAAATCACTGAATTTATCTACAACCAAGCGTGCAACAGCATCAGCTAAAACCTGTAGGATCACACAGAAACAGACATTAGAAAACAAACAAACAAAAGAATTTGAAAATTACATCAGCAATAGGTTATAAAGATTTGCACTTTTAAGCTATTTGGCACAAATTAAATGAGTTTTGTTTTTCCCTTTAAAAATGGACAATGAGGCATGAGCAGTATGCCAAGGAGGTGGCTGGGTCAAATTTTCAGGCACACTGAGCACTTAGAACTCTAAGCAGAGCTCTGTGTACTCCCATGTCTACTAAAAGAGTCAGAAAGCCCTAAGCCAAGCATCAACGTACCTAATGCTCATGATCATTGTGAACATCTGAGGCTTAGGAGAACTGAATACACAGATAAGTCTATCCTTTCATGCTCAAACCTCAAAGCACATCATTTCACTATCCTCAACACTGGACCTGACAAGAAGATTGAAGTCCAAAAACCAGGCTCCTCAAAACAACATGTAAACCTTTCTGTAATATTCAAAATCATGAGCTAGCTATTATATAAATGAGAATGAATTTGTTTAAATGCTTTCTATTTCTTATTTTTACAAGATACGTCAAATGTAAGAATAGAAAATGTCAACAGATAACCCAAAATAAACTCTCTCAAAATTAGGAAGCATTTATCTCTTCCACCTTCAGGAAAACTTGAACAGTAACAGTCCCAGCCTCATCATATCTTATCAGCAGGGTTAGGAAGCAACGGTCTGGCTGTAAGGAGAGCTAACTTCTGATATTAAGGAAAACTTCCACCCCTGCTCTTGTTGAACAACACAGTCCAACACTCCAGCTGATCACAGCCGCTGTTTACAAGGCAGCTGGAACTGTACCAGCTAGAAGAGATGAATCAAGATCAAATTCTTGAATTTTCACCTGAAAAGAAACTGAAAACTAGGTCAATCTATGCAACAGCATCGCTCCCACAGCTGGTTGTTCCCAAGGGAGTGGCTGAGAAAGGCAAGTTACATGCTGGATGGTATGATGAGCAGTCCCCAGGCTGACAGGCAAGACAGGGCAGCCTATCCCCACCCACCTTCCACCAGCAACCAGCCTGGCAGCCAGAGAGGAGGAGGAGCGGACAGCTGGGGAGGGAGCTCTACCTCAGGACATCAGGTGTAAAGAGCTTGATTCAATTGTCTGTACATTGGCACCCAACAATATCTGTGATGTTCTAGAGTAACCACCTGGCCCACAGGTTGACACACCAGAGGGACACAGGTCATCATACAGATGGTCTTAGACACGCAAGAGCATGCAACACGGTGCTAAACACACATGTAAGCAACTACATCGAGCCTAAAAGGACGCTTGTGGCTGAGAGTCTTCTTCTTAAAAACTGTCCTTGGGCTCTCAGTAACAGAACATCACCACTTTCACCCCTCTAGTGGGCCCAAGGCAAATCAACAGGGCTGATGGGCAGCAGTACACAGAGCTTGGGGGCACCCACTTGGAACAGGAGAAACTCATGAACACAAACAGTTCTAAAAAAAGACTGTCAGAGTCAAAATAAAAGGAAGAAATGAAAAAGAGGGTTTGAAGACTGCCAGTCTGATTCACCACAGTTTTCTTAACAACACTCATGAGAACCGACAGCCTAGAAACAATGTGGAGGAGCTCTCAACGTTAACTTCCTTCTGGAAAAGCCTTAGCAGCCAATGAAGCAGAAATTAAAGCTCACGTATCATGAGTTCAGGGCTTGGCAGCTTTTTCCAGAATCTGACTGGAGACAGTGACCAGCAGTCAGTGGTGACCGAGGTCACACTTACATCAAGCACAGCTCAATGTTTTGCAACTGCACAATGAGTCAGAAGGCTCTCGACATCGCAAATACAAAATTTCTCAATGTATTTGAATGGACTGCAACTCAGAAACTTTTATTAACAGATTGAGATTTTTTCAGGAATGCAATTTTTCTCAGCCTTTCTCTGTGCTATATATATATATTTTATATATA